TCTCAGAAAATGAGATCATACGATGTGCATTGCTCTGCAACTGGCTTTTATCACTTAGCAATATGCCTAGGATGTTCTTCCATATCAGAACCTGCAGATCTAGCCCTTAAAAGAGTACACACATACACACGCACACACATGCACACGCACACACATGCACACGTGCACACACACGGACATGCACACACACGCACACACATGAACACCCATGCACACACACACGCACATGCATACACGCACACACCCACTATAGCATTTTCTTGTGGTAGGTGGAAATTAAAGGCAAGTTATATATTCATCTCTAATTAAATGGATAAATAGAATATGATAGATGCATATTTAGCATAGAAACATTAAGTGCATCCCTAACAACGTAGATGTCTATTCAAACAAAGTGAAAAAGTTATGAAAAGGTAAGAAACAGAATGAGGGCTATTAGTGTAAATTAAAACATGCACATACACAAAATAACACTATATATTTTTAAAGGACACATATCTATCCAAACACTAATAGACCAAATGCATTAGATGCCTATGGGGCAATGCAGAGGAACGAGAATGGGGACTGGGAATAAAGTGGAAAAAGTGAATAAAATACAGTATTTAAGAGAGGTCTTGCAGAGACCAATGATGACAGCGACCACAGCATTCCATAGAGGAGTCATCATTTACCGAATTCCCCTACTGATGGACATTGAGATTATCCAGTGTCTCATAAGTATGGATTTGGGAGTTAGATAGACCTCATTTTAGTGGCTGTGCAGTTTACTAGCCATTTGCCCTTTGACAAATTACTGAATACCTCTCAGCCTCAGTTCCTCTATTGTAAAACAGGAATAATAACACCTGCCTGGTGTGGTGGTTGTGATCATGTTTATAAACTGCTGGACACAGTGACCAGCACACAGCACAAGCCAGCAAACAGTTCTATGATCAGGAGAGATTTGCTGGGGCCAGGCCCACGGGACAGTGGGCCCCACTGGGCAGGAGCCAGACCGATCTTGCTCACCCTGTACCCCACCTGCACCTGGCATACCCTCCACCCTTAGAGACTGTGTCTTGAATGAATGTGGTTTCTAAGTCAGTAGTTTCAGGGTAATTCATCTTCTGTGACATCTAGTGGCCTATTCAGGTTGCCAGGCACATGTTATGTGTTTATTGAATAGTGGCTGTAAGTTCTTGCTTTTCACAGGGTACCCTGTGAGTGTCTAAGGCTCATGTCCTTGATTTGTGGTTTATGTTGGAACCAGAGAAGCGGGACTCCCCTTCTCTGCCCTTGCCCCTCTAAAGAACAAAAACTCAAGGATGACAGCTCTCAGATGATGAGTCAAAAAGAGCAACTTCCTCTGCATAGGATAGCCTGTAGAAAAGCCATCACAGGAGTCAGGTCACTCCTGTGTGACCCTGAGCCTGTCATATAACCACTTTATGTTTAACTTACTCCTCTGCCAAGAGGAGATAAGGCCACCTGCCTTCCACACCCCCCACATCGTATAGTGTTTTAGGAACTAAGTTTGATAATGTCACAACACATTGAAAAGAATAAAATCATATAATTAGCAATTATTTAAGAAATACTGTCATTTTTATTACTAGTTCAATTACTAATCTGTGTTTGGGGAGGGAGTTCAGGTGAAAGACTGAGTCGATTCTTCAGGGACAGCTTTTTCCTGTGTTCTGGCCACACTGGCACTTTGTGCTAATTGCTTGTGCAGGGGTGGAGATCTACCCTTGGGCTCTACAGAGTCAGCCAGAGCAAGCCAGGCTTCCAAATGCGACCCAGGGTTTCTCCAGGGCCAGAAGAGCCCCGAGGTTAAAAGCTGTGGCCCCAGTTCGTGGGCAGGAGGAGCGCAGCACAGCCTCCTTCTTGGTCCCATGCCTGCCCTCTCTCCTTGATTCACTAAGCATGGAGACAGCGGATGGATGTGGGGGAATCTCGAGGCCAAAGGTACATTTCCATAAACAATCCCTAGACTGATTATTAGAGAATCCAGGATATAGGAGAGAGAGGCAAAGGGGGAAAAAAAGATGGGAAAAGGAAAATAGCAGATAGAGAAGGAGAGAGAAAACGGACAGTGTTAAATAGCTTTTTAAAGGCACTGATTTTGGGAGCCAGGTATGGTGGTGCATGCCTGTAATCCCAGCTACTAGGGAGGCTGAGGCAGGAGAATAGCTTGAACCCAGCAGGTGGAGGTCACAGTGAGCCAAGACATCTTATTACTGTGATGTCTCTTAGCAGTAATAATTTCCATAAATTTACTATTAACTATGTATTTTTTTCTTTCATTCATCGTTAATTGACTTAAGATTCAAACTCCCCCATTTCTTATTCTTGAGTTCTAAGATTTGGGGAGGAGGAAAATCCCTGTTCACATTGTCTAATACCAGCTCCCCCCCAGACCAAACAACTTTGGAAGAAGATGAGCACTGTCTTTCTGTCTGTTTCTCTTTCTTTCTTTTTTTTTCTTTTCTGAGGTGGAGTTTCACTCTCGTCGCCCAGGCTGGAGTGCAATGGCGTGATCTCAGCTGACTGCAACCTCTGCCTCCTGGGTTCAAGTGATTCTCCTGCCTCAGCCTCCTGAGTAGCTGGGATTTCCATCATGTACTACCCCGCCCAGATAATTTTTGTATTTTTAGTAGAGACGGGTTTCACCATGTTGGCCAGGTTGGTCTCGAACTCCCAACCTCAAGTGATCTGCCTGCCTTGGCCTCCCAAAGTGCTGGGATTACAGGTGTCAGCCACTGTGCCCAGCCCTGTCTGTTTCTTTTCCCTAAAGGGACACAAGGGAATGAGCACTTGAGCTGGCAGGAAGTAGTCGAATGGATTTCAGGAAGAACTTCTGAAAAGAAAGATAAGCTGATTATTAGGTTAGTAACTCAGTTCCTCAGCTCTCTTAAGTCCTAGATGAAAAGAATAAGTAGGCCTGGCTCAGGGAGGCAGAGGTTGCAGTGAGCTGAGATTGCACCACTACACTCCAGCCTGGGCAACAGAGCTAGACTCTGTCTAAAAAAATTAAAAAGAAAAGAAAAAGAAAGACTGTACCTGGTCTCATGAGATGTTAAGAATTATTTGATGATTGGCCGGGCGCAGTGGCTCACACCTGAAATCCCAGCACTTTGGGAGGCCAAGGAGGGTGGATCATGAGGTCAGGAGATCGAGACCACCCTGGCTAACACGGTGAAACCCCGTCTCTACTAAAAATACAAAAAAATTAGACGGGCATGGTGGCGGGTGCCTGTAGTCCCAGCTACTCGGGAGGCTGAGGCAGGAGAATGGTGTGAACCCAGGAGGCAGAGCTTGCTGTGAGCCGAGATCGCACCACTGCACTCCAGCCTGGGCGACAGAAGGAGACTCCATCTCAAAAAAAAAAAAAAAGAGTTATTTGATGAGTTAGAGGTGGGCATAGTAGTTATATACCTAAAAAGATAGGGATCTCCTCTGTAAATCTTGTAATTTCCCTTACTAATTACCCATTAACTAATTTAACCCCTTTTTGCATAACCTCTGTTTGTATATTTTGCCTTTTCCACCTAAACTTATTTAAGCTTAAGCGAAGTTTTATTTGCTCTACATTGACCTCCTCTTAAATTGTATATTCCCAGCTTCTGTATTTGGAGCATAAGTCAATATTTAATCTTTCCATTATTTCTGCGATTTTATAGATTCATCATGTTATTCCTCAAACGTCATCTTTCTAGATCTAACACTGAGGTAAAACTCAGAGGGGAGGGATGTAGAAGAGAGCAGAGGAAATTTAACAGGGATTTCTGGGGAGCTTTTCCAAATGCAATGTGTCTGCCTCCCACTTCCCTGAGCGTATGAAAACCTTGGCTGGGGAAATGTGTTGTTGCTGTTGTTTTCAAGAGATAGGGTCTCCCTCTGTCACTCAGGCATTGGAGTACAGTGGCTCACTGCAGCCTTGAACACTGGAGCTCAAGCGATCCTCCCACCTCAGCCTCTGAAAATGCTGGGATTACAGGTGTGAGCCACCATGCCTGACTGAAATTTGTCTTTTGAGAATTTTTACATCTAATTCTAATGGTCAACTCTCTCTATCCTGTCATAGCCATTGTTCTTAACTGAAGAGCCCCTCAGTTCTTGGGGTCTTTTGGTTCTGTCATCATGAGGTATTTCCTTCATTTCCGTGTTAGCTCATGCCTGACATTCTGATGGAATCAACTTTTCCATTCGTTGTGTAATCAACATTAGATGGGGATTACAACAAAAGTTTGCAATCTAGGCCAGGCACAGTGGCTCACACCTGTAATCCCAGCACTTTGGGAGGCTGAGGTGGGCAGATCACAAGGTCAGGAGTTCAAGACCAGCCTGGGCAACATGGTGAAACCCTGTCTCTACTAAAAGTACAAAAATTAGCCAGGCATGGTGGCGCATGCCTGTAGTCCCAGCTACTCAGGAGGCTGAGGCAGGAGAATTGCTTGCACCCGGGAGGTGGAAGTTGCAATGAGCCGAGATTACACTCCAGCTTGGGTAACAGAGTGAGACTCTGTCTCAAAAAAAAAAAAAAAAAAAAAAAAAAAAAAGAAAAGAAAAGAAAAAAAGAAAGAAAAAAAAGCTTGCAATCTTAAAAAGTAAGTTGGAGTCCAGGTGCAGTGGTTCACGGCTGTAATCCCAGCACTTTCGGAGGCTGAGGCAGATGGATCACTTGAGCCCAAGAGTTGGAGACAAGCCTGGGCAACATGGCAAAACCCCATCTCTACAAAAAATACAAAAATTTTCTGGATGTGGTGGCACACACCTGTGGTCACAGTTACTTGGGAGGCTGAGACAAGAGGATTGCTTGAGCCAGGAAGATGGAGGTTGCAGTGAGCTGAGATTGTGCCACTGCACTCCAACCTAGGTGACAGAGAGAGACTCTGTCTCAAAAAACAAAAAATAGGTTGTTACTTAACTATGGATCCCAGATAACTATTAGACCATTCCTGATGCAAATCCACCTCAGCCAACAGCTTCTTCTTGACTTGCTTTTCTCCCAGCAGTTTGCTCTGAATGAATTTGTCAAGTGACTGAAGGCAACCAGTGATGGACAGGGCCAATGACAGCTCCTTGAAGGGCTTTGTTCTGATGGGCATATCTGACCATCCCCAGCTGGAGATGATCTTTTTCATAGCCATCGTTTTCTCCTATTTGCTGACCCTACTTGGGAACTCAATCATCATCTTGCTTTCCTGCCTGGATGCCCGGCTCCACACACCCATGTACTTCTTCCTCAGCAACCTCTCCTCCTTGGACCTTGCTTTCACTACTAGCTCAGTCCCCCAAATGCTGATCAATTTATGGGGACCAGACAAGACCATCAGCTATGGTGGCTGTGTGACCCAGCTCTATGTCTTCCTTTGGCTGGGGGCCACCGAGTGCATCCTGCTCATGGTGATGGCATTTGACCGCTACGTGGCAGTGTGTCGGCCCCTCCGCTACACCACCATCATGAACCCCCAGCTCTGCTGGCTGCTGGCTGTGATTGCCTGGCTGGGTGGCTTGGGCAACTCTGTGATCCAGTCAACATTCACTCTGCAGCTCCCGTTGTGTGGGCACCGGAGGGTGGAGAGCTTCCTCTGTGAGGTGCCTGCCATGATCAAACTGGCCTGTGGCGACACGAGCCTCAATGAGGCTGTGCTCAATGGTGTCTGCACCTTCTTCACTGCAGTCCCACTAAGCATCATCCTGATCTCCTACTGCCTCACTGCTCAGGCAGTGCTGAAAATCCACTCTGCAGAGGGGAGGCGAAAGGCCTTCAATACATGCCTCTCCCACCTGCTGGTGGTGTTCCTCTTCTATGGCTCAGCTAGCTATGGCTATCTGCTTCCGGCCAAGAACAGCAACCAGGACCAGGGCAAGTTCATTTCCCTGTTCTACTCAGTGGTCACGCCCATGGTGAATCCTCTCATCTACACGCTGCGGAACATGGAAGTGAAGGGCGCACTGAGAAGGTTGCTGGGGAAAGGAAGATAAGTTGGCTGAGAGAACACTCCTTCGTTATTTATTGCCTCTTCATCTCTACATGCGTTTCTCATTAACTCTCTCTGGCCAGGTGAACATGAAGAATACTAATTCCGGTAAAACCAAGGCATGTTCCTGACAACCCTAAGCTGACAGCCCTAAGCTGTCAGGAACATGGTTAGTGTTATTTGTAATGTTCTACACTTATTCACCAAAAATCCTACTGTGGACTACCAATAGCAGGGCAGACGTTGTTGAGGGCTCAGAGGTTATTGACCTGTTACAGACCTGTCTCACTGTCTCTGTCTCTGTTGCCCACATGTTATTTATTATGCCTTATATTTCTGCAGAATTCTGTACTTTTCTAAGCAAAGTACCCCCACTTGCAGTATCTTATATAATGTTACTATCATTCCATAAAATCAAGCGATGTACTATTAACTTCATATGAAGACCCAAACAATTCATCTTTTTACCCTATTTGTCATCATCTTTGCCTATCTCTCTTTATCTCTTCTTCACTTTTTTTAAGAGTTGGAGTCTTGCTCTGTTGCCCAGGCTGAAGTAGAGTGGCATGATCATAGCTCACTGCAGGCTTCAACTCCTGGGCTCAAGCAATCCTTCTGTCTCCTGAGTAGCTGGGACTATAGGCACATGCTACCACACCTAACTAATTTTTATTTTTATTTTTGTAGAGATGGGGTCTCACTATGTTAACAGCCCAGGCTGGTCTAGAATTCTTGGCCTCAAGTAATCTTCCTGCCTTAGCCTCCCAAAGTGCTGGGCTTATGGGTGTGATCTACCTCACCTGGCCTGTATCTTCTTAATAATGCAGTATACCACCGGGTGCGGTGGCTCACACCTGTAATCCCAGCACTTGGCCGGGCGCGGTGGCTCGAGCCTGTAATCCCAGCACTTTGGGAGGCCGAGACGGGCGGATCACGAGGTCAGGAGATCGAGACCATCCTGGCTAACACGGTGAACCCCGTCTCTACTAAAAAATACAAAAAACTAGCCGGGCGCGGTGGCGGGCGCCTGTAGTCCCAACTACTCGGGAGGCTGAGGCAGGAGAATGGCGTGAACCCGGGAGGCAGAGCTTGCAGTGAGCTGAGATCCGGCCACTGCACTCCAGCCTGGGCGGCAGAGCGAGACTCCGTCTCAAAAATAAAATAAAATAAAATAAAAAATCCCAGCACTTTGGGAGGCCAAGGTGGGCGGATCACCTGAGGTCAGGAGTTCAGGACCAGCCTGACCAACACGGAGAAACACTGTCTCCACTAAAAATACAAAATTAGCTGGGCATGGTGGCACATGCCTATAATCCCAGCTACTTGGGAGGCTGAGGCAGGAGAATCAGTTGAACTTGGGAGGCACAGGTTGTGGTGAGCTGAGATCGTGCCATTGCACTCCAGCCTGGGCGACAAGAGTGAAACTGCATCTCAATAATGATAACAACAATAATAATAACAATAATGCAGTATATCTCTCCATGCTTTCCATCCATATGTCTCTCCATCATCTTGTTTACCCTCTCCCTTATGCCTACATTCCAATTTCTCTTCTACTAATCTATTATTTAATAAGAAAAGATTATGCCAGGCATGGTGGCTCACGCTTGTAATCCCAGCAGTTTGGGAGGTCGAGGCAGGTGGATCACGAGGTCAGCAGTTCGAGACCAGCCTGACCAAAACGGTGAAACCCTGTCTTTACTAAAAATACAAAAAAATTAGCTGGGCATGGTGGCGGGTGCCTGTAATCCCAGCAACTTGGGAGGCTGAGGCAGGAGAATCACTTGAAACTGGAAAGTGGAGGTTGCCGTGAGCCGAGATTGCGCCACTGCACTCTAGCCTGGGCAATAAGAGCAAAACTCCATCTCAAAAACAAACAAACAAACAAAACCAAAAGAAAAGATTAAAAAGGTCATTTGCAGCTGGGCGCAGTGGCTCATGCCTGTCATCTCAGCACTTTGGGAGGCTGAGGTGGGCGGATCACCTGAGGTCAGGAGTTTGAGACCAGCCTGGCGCGCACGCGCTCACACGCGCAGAATGGCATACAACCCCCGGAAGGCGCC